TGTCATTGTCCATTTGCTGGATATCTGACCTTACAATGTTTTGGCTTCATTGATTTGCTAATTCATATGCAGCATGAGTGGGGACCAGTAGGGGAGGGGGCTTACAGAGACAAGACAAAAGCAGCAAGCTCTTTGTTGGCAGAGGTGTTTCTAGGAGGGAATCTGGTCAGTGGAGACATGGGGCCCTGAACCAGTGCCGGGCTCTACGGCAGAGATAACATTCATTTGCAGCTCTTTCAAGGTTAACAGCAGAGGTGCTGGGAACTAAAAAGGGAGTCATTTTCCTAGGTCTTTGGTATTTTGTTTCATTTTTTTTCTTTTTCACCCTCCTTCCCATCTGGAAGGAGGGGGAGGGAGGAGGTGAAATTGAAGGATTCGAGGGGGTCTCCCCTCTCAACATAAGTGTCCATAATATTTTCCGTAGAGGTTTTACTAATTTACATTTCTACCAACAGTGTATAAGAGTTCCCTTTACTCCGCATCCTCATGAATGTCTGTTATATTTTGTCTTTTTAGTAATAGCCATTCAAAAAAAAAATAGCCATTCTAACTAGTTTAAGATGATATCTTATTGTGATTTTAATTACGTTTCTCTGGTGATTAGTGATGTTCAGCATTTTTCATATGCCTGTTGGCCGTTTGTATGTCTTCTTCTGAAAAGTATCTATTCCTGTTCTTTGCTCACTTTTTAATGGGATACTTTTGTTGTTATTGTTGTTGAATTGTTTGAGTTCCTTGAAAATTCCAGATAGAAGCTCCCTGTTGGGTCCTTAGTTTGCAAATATTTTCTCCCATTCTGCATGTTGGCTGTTTGCTCTGTTGATTAGTTATTTTCTACACAGAGCTCTTAAATTTAATTAAGTCTCATTTGTCTACTTTTGTTTTAGCTACCTGTTCTTTTGGGGTCTTTGTCATTAATTCTTTGCCTGGACAAATATCCAGAAGAATTTTCCCTAGGTTTTCTTCTAGCATTTTTGTACTTTCAGGTCTTACATTTAAGTCTTTAACCCATCTTCAGTGGATTGTTGTATATAGTGAGAAATAGTGGTCCAGTGTTATTCTTCTGTAAATGGCAATCCAATTTTTCCAGTACCATCTATTGAAAAGAGTATCCTTTCCCAGTGTATATTCTTGTTGATTTTGTCAAACATCAGTTGGCTGTAAATATGCGCCATTACTTCTGGGTTCTCTATTCTGTTCCATTGATCTATGTGTCTACTTTTGTGCCAATATCATGCTGTTTTGGTTACCATAGACTTGTAATATAATTTGAAATCAGATAATGTGATGCCTCCAGTTTTATTATTTTTACATAGGATTGCTTTGGCAATTTAGGATTTTTTTGGTTCCATAAGAATTTTAGAATTGCTTTTTTCTAATTTGATAAAAAATTAAGTTGATTTTTTTTCCATTTATTTTATTGCATTTTAGGTTTTGGGGTACATATGAAGAACATGAAAGATTGTTGATATTTTAATAGAGATAACATTGAATCTGTAGATTGCTTTGGGCAGTATTGTCATTTTAGCAATATTTTTCTAATCCATGAGCATGGGATTTTTTTTTTTTTTTCATTTGAATGTGTTATTTACTTCTTTAATCAGAGTTTTGTAGTTTTCCTTGTAGAGATTTTTCAACTCCTTGGTTAAATATAGCTCTGTGTAGCTTTTTGTAGCTATTTTAAGTGGGATTGCCTTCTTGATTTGGTTCTTAGCTAGATTATTACTGGTATATAGAAACATTACTGATTTTTATATATTTTTAATTTTCTATCTTGAAACTTTACTGAATTCATTCGTCAAATATAAATGTTTCTGGTATAGTCTTTAGGTTTTTCTAGATATAAGATCTTATCGTCAGTGAACAAGGATAGTTTGACTTCCTCTTTTCCAATTTGGATGCTTTTTATTTCTTTCTCTTGCATGGTTGCTCTGTCTAGGATTTCCAGTACTATGTTGAATAAGAGTGGTGAAAGAGGATATCCTTGTCTTTTTTTTTTCCCCCTTAGAACCCAGACTGACCAAGTTATCCTTGTCTTATTCCAGATATTGGAAAAAATGCTTTCAACTTTTCTCCATTCAGTATGATGTTGCCTGTGGGTTATATATGTGTTACTGCCATTTTGTTAATTATTTTCTGGTTGTTTTGCCAATTCTTTGTTTCTTTCTTTCTCTCTTAGTATCTTCCTTTGTGATTAAGTAATATTCTCTAGTAAAATGATTTGAATTCTTACTTTTTATATTTTGCTTACTTTTTATATTTTGGGAATCTACAGTAGGTTTTTGGTTTGTAGGTACTATGAGGCTTACAAAAATATCTTAGAGTTATAATGAACTATTCTAAACTAATAACAACTTTGATTACACAAAAAAAGCTCTTTACTTTTACTCCACCTCCCCCACATTTTAAACTTTTATGTCATAGTTTTCATTTTTTATATTGTATATCCCTTAACAAACTATTACCTATTATTATTTTAATGGTTGTGCCTTTTAATCTTTATACTGAAGACATTAGGTTGATACAAAAGTAATTGTGGGTTTTGTCATTAAACTGCAATCACTTTTGCAACAACCTAATATAAGTGTTTTATACACCACCATTATAGCGTGTGAGTATTCTGAATTAAACTTTTCACTAACTTTTACTGATTAGCATCTTTTTCTTTCAGCTAGAAAAATTTCCTTTAACATTTCTTATAAGGCAGTTCTGGTGGTGATGAACTTCCTTAGCTTTTGTTTTTCTAGAATAGTCTTTATCTCTTCTTCACTTCTGAAGGATGCCTTTATCAGGTACAGTATCTCTGGTTTCAGGATTTTTTGTTCTTTTTTTTAAAATTCTTTCAGCACTTTGAATATATTTTCCTATTCTTTCCCGGCCTATAAGACTTTCAGCTGAGAAATCTGCCACCTTATTGGAACTCCTTTATATGTTATTTGCATTTCTCTCTTGCTAATTTCAGGGTCTTCTTTTCTCTTTATTTTTGACAGTTTGATTATAACATGTTTTCATGTAGTCTTGTTTGTACTGAATCTGATTTGAGACTTTGACCTTCTTGTACGTGGATGCTTATATGTGTCTCCAATTTGAAAAGTTTTCTGCTCTTATTTCTTTTTTAAAAATTTTGTTTTAGGTTTAGGGGTACATGTCAAGGTTTGTTACATAGATAAAAACATGTCATGGGGGTTTGTTGTACATATTATTATATCACCCATGTATTAAGCTTGGTATCTAATATTTATCTTTCCTGGTTTTCTCCCTTCTCCCACCCTCCCCCATCAAGTAGACTCAAGTGTCTGCTGTTTCCTTCTTTTCGTTCATAAGTTCCTATCATTTAGCTCCCTATCATAAGTGAGAACATGTGTTATTTAGCTTTTTATTCCTGTGTTAGTTTTCTAAAGATGTACAGTCTAGTAGGGAAGAGAAACATTAAGCAAATATGCAATCCCAAATTTTGGTGAAGAAATAGAACCAGGTTCTAAGAAGGATAAGAATGTGATGGTTGAAACCAGAAAATGAAAGAGGGACTCTCAGTGGGCATGATATTTAAGATGAGTCCTAAAGAGTAAATAATTGTTAGCCAGGATGGGAGTGTGGTTACCCTCCCAGGAGAAAGAGCAAATGCACAGGCTCTAAGGCAGGAAAGTCCTCTGCCCATTTAGAACTAAATGAAAGCAGTGTGACTGGAGCTTAGTAATGAAGGGGAAGAGTACCTGAGTCAGCATGGCAGCCTAGAGCCAGATCTTACAGAACCTAAAGGGTTTTATTTTTCTAACTACCTGAATGCAACAGAGGCATTTATTGAATATAATTGAGGGAAGGTGTATACTGTAATTTTCTTTTAAAATGTTCCTTGGATTGCCATATAGAGACTGGATTGGAGAAGGGCAAGAGGAGAAACCGAAAGATCAGTTCACTGATTATTCAGTGGCCTAAGGTTTGTGATAGATACAAAACAATTAAGAAACATAAAGCAAGGCACCATGGGGTGGGGGGTGGGAGCATAACAAAGGATGCCTGTGCAGGTCCACTGTTGCATATGAACAACTGCTGGGGGGAAAAATGAAAGGCTATGGCATCCTTTCAGCTCAATAAAAGTCAGAGAAGGGGATTATCCATAGAGCCAGAGAAGCTGTTGTGAGGAAGATGAATGTGGGTCCAATCTAGAAAGGTGGATTGGATTGGAGGTTTTTGTTTTGTTTTGTTTTGTCGTTGTTGTTGTTTGAGGTGCTTTGGAAAGGGCTAGTGAAGTAAAGAGAGTAGCCTGGCTGGGGTGGATGTCATGAGCCTAACAAGTGAACAAACAGTGCCCAGTGGAAGTCCTTGCAAACCTCAGCAAGATTCAAAGCTGAGACGAAGTGTTTGCTTTTCAGGGATGTTGTGCAACAACATTCAATGCTGACTTTCTACCTACTCCTGGAGGGAGAGAGATGCCCAACCCACAGAGCAGGGCAAGACTATGGGAAGGGAGGTTCTGTGCATGTGATAAAAGTGACAACTCCGAATAATTTATCTATTTGCAGTTCTCTTCTCTTGATTCTGCTCCTCACTGACTGGTTTTGTGGGCATCCTATAGCAGACCCACATGACTTCCACTTAGCTCTAGTGAGTGGCCTTGTCAGAGCTGGTACCCTGAAAAATGCTCCTTGCTCCGGTTTTAACCCCAGGGCTCCAGGGATCCCTCAGATTTTTGTCAGTTGGGGAGCTTTTATTGAGTCATATTATGTAGTCTCTCTCCCTCTCTCTCTCTCTTTCTCTCTCTATCTCTCTCTATATATTTTTTTCTCTTCTCCCCCAGGTGTTGGCACTTTCTGGATTGCTTCAGTTATTTATGTCCTGCCTCCTTTCCTTGCAAATATTATTCAGCATGTTTTCTTGCTGTATTTCACCTCCCACCAGGTCCTCTTGGAGTCCATAGAGTCCAGAGCCATTCTTATGTTTGAGGCTCCCAGTGTCATCTATATCTACCTAACATGAATTTCTCTCTTCCTCCCTAACAGAACCCCAGATATCTGGATGTCAACACCATCTCACTTCACCACAAACTTCAGGGGACAAGTTCTAATTATTCTGAACCTGTCAAACCTGGAATTTACCTAAGTGCCATTACTGGTTGAGGATGTCCAACCCTCTTAAAATGGCCTGATCGGATTGAAGGGATGGCCTTTTATTCTATAGTTAGGAAAGGTTTTCCCTCTCTCCTGAAGGACAGAAACAAAGAAGAATGTAGACTCTATCACCGCAAATGGCCATCTTGTTATATTAGGGGTAATTCCAGCCTTAGGATGAAGCTGACACCAGGCATAGCAGAAGCTGGCCAGAGATGGAAGGAACCTGGATCCTTAATGACTTCATTTAGTTACTGAATCAGTGGCCCCCGATGCCTGTTCTACCTACCTCAGCTCTTCCTGCTATGTGAAATCACAAACTTATTTAATAGTTAAGCTAGTTTGAGGGGATTATTTTTTATATACAGCTAAAACTCCATATGCAATATAACTGATATGATAATATTTCCTAAAGAGTTTTCCATTTCATTCTGCTCAGAACTACTCCATTATTTATAATGGCTGTATAGCTTTTCCAAGTATTATTACATCTAATGTACTCATCTTTCCCGTTATTTATAAGCGTTAGTCTTATTGAGATTTTTGGTTTTTCAAAAATGCTAAAGTAAACATCCTATTATTGCATATATTTACATACTTGCACACTTAGATATTTTCAAAGCCCAAATACAGACTATTTGTATGACGACAAATAATACAATTGATATAGTACAGTACTAGGCATAAAATTTCTAGGTTACAGAAGTATTTTAATGCTTATTTCCAACCTACCTTCCAGAAATGTTGTACCAGTTCTCATTCTCACCAGTACTGTATAAAAGTGCGCATTTTTCTAAACCCTCATCTCTAGGTATAAATAATTAATAATGTCATAGATTCAGAAGTCAGACTGTCTATGTTCAAATCCCACCCTCACAAGTATATAGTAACGTTTCTTTGAATGTGTGGTCCAATCTCCTTATAGTAGTATCCGAAAGCAATTTATGTGGTTAGGGAAATTGAATGAGATAAGGCATGTAAAGCACTTAGATCATAAGTGGTCAATAAATGTTGGCTGATGTTATTATCAAAATTATTTGCCAAATTGTTACTTCAAAATGTTACTTGCTCTCATTTGCATTTCCTTAATTACTAGTTAATATGGGCTGAATATTTGTGTTCCCCCAAAATAAATATGTTCAAGCCCTAATCCCCAATGTAACAGTATTTGGATGTAGGACCCTTAGAAGATACTCAGGGTTAGATTAGATCATGAGAGTGAGGCTCTCTGGAGAAGATTAGTGGCCTTATAAAAAGAAGAAGAGACACAGGATCTCTTTCTCTGCCTGTGAAGATACAGCAAAAAGGAAGCCATCTATAATACAATTTGGGAAGAAAACTCTCAGTGAACTCAACAATGCTGGTGCTCTGACTCCAACCTCCAGACAGTGAGAAGTAAAATTCTGTTGTTTAAGTCACCTAGTATATGGTATTTTGTTATAGCAGCTTGAATTAAGATGTGAATGAAACTGATCATTTTTTCCACGTGCCTATTAATCATAAAAATTTTTAACTTTTTATCCATCCATTTTCATATTTATGTGTTCCCCTTTCTTTGATTGATTTCAATCAATTTACTGTATAGTTATATTATTAATCCTTTGTCTTTCCTATATGTTATATTTTTCATTATTTCATCTGCCTGTTTTTACATTGTACTTATACTATACAAAAGTTTATTTTTATGTAATAAAATCAATTATTTTGTTTAATTTCCAGTCATCTACTGAGAAATGCCTTTAACATACTTAAATAATTATCTATATTTTCTCCCACTTTATTATTGTAGTCAATTTCTTAATCCATTTAGCAACTTTGTTTCAAAGAATTCTTAAAGATATTGCAAAAAGATTATGTTAAAATGTTAAGTGAAAAATAGCATATATATATGATCCAGTTTTAATAGAATAAGATTCTATGTATAAACATTTCATGTAGAAAAATCTAAACAAAAAGAAACTGAAATATTTAACAATATTTAGTAGAATTAAGATTTTTAATTTTTTTCTTTATGTTTCTTTGTGTTTTCCAAAATGAATGTTTATCATTTTTATCAGACATTTTAAAGTATGATTTTTTAATTTTAAAAACATGGTATATCTTTAAAATTACTTGGAATGGTGCTATTTAATAGAAATACATTATAAGCTATAAATCTAATTTTAAGTTTTATAGTAAACATAATTTAAAAGAAACAGACAAAACTAACTTTAATACCTTTAACACAGTATATCCAAATTGCTATCATTTCAACACATAATCAATATAAAATTACTGATAAGATATTTCATTTTTTGGGCTGGGTGTGGAGCCCAGCAATTTGGGAGGCAGAGGCGGGTGGATCATCTGAGATCAGGAGTTCGAGACCAGCCAGGCCGACATGGTGAAAGCCTGTCTCTACTAATAATATAAAAATTAGTGGGGCATGGTGGCATATGCCTGTAATCCCAGCTACTCTGGAGGCTGAGGCAGAAGAATTGCTTGAACCCAGGAGGCGGAGGTTGCAGTGAGCTGAGATTGTGCCATTGCACTCCAGCCTGGATGACAAGAGTGAAACTCCATCTCAAAAAAAAAAAAAAGATATTTCACTTTTTTGTACTGTCTTTAATATCCTGTGTGTACTTTATACTTTTAGCACATCTTCAATTGCATTAGTTACTTTTTAAGTTCTCAATAGCCACATGGTTACCTTATTGTAAACTGCAGATTTGGAACATAAAAAGTATTGAATTTTAAGTTGATCTGAATCTCAATCATTTGCTGAACCATTCCTTCATATCACTTTTGAAATGCAGTTTATATGAATTAAATAATACAAATTGAAATGACTCTAGGGACCAGGAAGGTAACTAGGTAATGTGAACAAGCTTTACTTTCCCTAAAGCCGAGTAAGGAAAGTAAAACGGAAACACCTGCTTTTCTAAAGGATTGAAACCACCACTAGGCTCCCTCCAGTCAACTGATGCAATGTGGGAATGCAACCCCAGTGTTTACAAAACTCCTGGTTTTTCATGAAAATCTAAAATCTGGATTTTCCTGTGGAATTTGTCGATTATTAAATACCAGCAGTGATTCAAAAATCATACAGCACTGTGTGATACAAACTATGTGCTTGTCAGATTTGATCCTCTTCAGGCCAAATTTTGACATCTGGGATCAATAAATACTTTTTAAAACCCACTAATGTTATTAACTTTGAAAGTTTAGACAACCTATTTTTAGTGAATCAAAAACTTTTTTTCATTTTACATACTTTATAACATTAACAGCTAGCATTTACTGAGAGCTTAGTATATGGCAGGCATCTTGCCAAACACTTTCTACATTTCACAGGTAAGAGAAATAAAGCTAAGGGAGGTTGACTAACTTTGTTAAAGGTCGCACACGGTGCTTGTAAGTGGAGGTCCCAATATTTGAAGTAAAGTCTGCTGACTCCAGAGTCCACGCTTCTACAAACACTCCTTTAAACTGCATATGAGTATCCATGTCTAGGTAATCAACCAATCTATCCCTCTCCACTGTTGCATCTCCCCCGCTTCACAAACACACACACGCAAGTGTGCACACACACACACATTTTCTTGGCCCTTTTGTTCATAAGAGTACTGCATACAGCTGAATTCTGTCTGCCTTGATCTCTTTTTCTTTCATCTCCACCTCCTTTATGCTCATCCTACATCTCCTTTACGACAGATATTTCCTTTTCTCACTTTCAACTTTCATTTTCTTTGCATGGGAATGTTCCCCTTTTAATCACATTGGTGAAGGAGGCCTTTAAGCAAGTGGCATGTTCTTGACAGCAAATTGTGCACATCTCTTCACATCTCTGCATTAAGTGACATCATGTTGGTAGCTAGAAATCAACTGTAGTAGGAGCATTTACATAGTGGAAATAGACTAACACTACAAATAGTTTAATGAAAACTCAATTGTTAAACATTTATCAATACACAACTGCCTTTGTCCTTGTTAAGGCATCTGATAGAAAGTTTATCTTTATATCTGCCCATCTACCTTTTCCTTTGGTTCATAAATACTATCTTTTGGAACTCAAACTCTCACTACCTCCTTCAGCTGATTATATTGATTCATAGCTTGTGTGGTAAATTTTATTCCCTTGACATTCATAAGAATTTTATATTCTAGTTCTGTTGGGATGGTTTGTTATAAATTCCCCATGGGATGAAACTACTTTTTATTCTTTAAAAAAAATCAATTTTAGTAGCTCAAGTATCCATTAATTAATAGCTGTTCTCATCTATTCTGCATTTTATTCACTGGGCTAGTCAAATATTACTGGCAGAGTCCCCTTCAGCTCATTCTGCCTTATCTTGTGCCTTGTTTTTGCGTCTTTCCTTCTCTCTTAAGCTGCCTCTTACCCTACACTTATGCCATCTATTTCACAGTTTCTTTCCTTAAAACCTTCTAAAATTTGTCCTTGGTCTTCAAGTTTTGTTTCAAACCTAAGCTGCTTAAAGAATCTCCAAGCCTCTGCTCGTGGGAGCATACTACTGTGATCAATCATTTTTTGTTTTTTTTTTTTTTTTGAGACAGAGTCTCACTCTGTTGCCCAGTCTGAAGTGCAGTGGTGCCATCTCAGCTCACTGCAACCTCCGCCTCCTGAGTTCAAGCGATTCTCCTGCCTCAGCCTCCTGAGTAGCTGGGATGACAGATGCATGCCACCATGCCTGGCTAATTTTTGTACTTTTAGTAGAGACGGAATTTCACCATGTTGGTCAGGCTGGTCTTGAACTCCTGACCTTGTGATCTGCCCACCTCAGCCTCCCAAAGTGCTGGGATTACAGGCATGAGCCACTGCACCCGGCACCTGTTATTATCATTTTTCTTCCTGAAGCACTTCCATTGCCCCACCTCCATGGGACTACTTCCAGATGACGTTGGCTAGATGTATACAATCTTTTCAGTATCATATTCACAAATATTTCCCTGCTTTAGCCATAGAGATGGAAAATCATATCTGTTGTCTATCAGATTTACTCATTTATAATTCTTTCAGGACATCCTCATTTCCAAAATGTGAGGCCCCGAAGACTCACAAGTTATATCCTCCATGTACAGTCAGTTGTCCCTCAATGTCCATGGGAGAATGGTTTCAGGACCCCCAGGAATATAAAAATCTGCAGATGCTCAGTTCTTTTAAATAAAATGACACAGAATTTGCCCATAACTTATACACATGCTCCTGTAAACTTTACACCACATCTAGATTACTTTTAATACCTTATACAATGACTCCATATGACTTTGTTAAATGCAGATTCAATGTAGTGCGTGGCATATTGCAAATTCAAGTTTTGCTTTTTGAAACTTGATGGAATTTGTTTTTCCAAGTATTTTTGATCCCTGATTGGGTGAATCAATGGATGCAGAACCCACGAATATGGAGGGCCTACTGCATTTATATTAGTCCCCTAAATTTTGTGCTTCTTGAGGAAAAAAATGACTTCTTGGTGACTATTCCATCCCTTATTCAATCAAACTGGATGATGACATGGTTTCTTATGCTTGTTGATTTACCCTGTTGTCTCAGTCCCATGTTTCTTCTAATAGCACTGTAATACAAGTTGTCATTGAAGGTATTTACTCAATGGTAACAGTGATTGGTAATCTTGTAATTTACACCTGCATCTTTCCAACTTTATCTGCCTGCAGCCACTTTTTTTTTCTTTTTGAGACAGAATCTTGCTCTCTTTCCCAGGCTGGAGTGCAATGGCACGATCTCAGCTCACTGTAACCTCCGCCTCCTGGGTTCAAGCAATTCTCCTGCCTCAGCCGCCTGAGTAACTGGGACTACAGGCGTCCACCACCACATCAGGCTAATTTTTATATTTTAGTAGAGATGGAGTTTCGTCATACTGTCCAGGCTTGTCTGGAACTCCTAACCTCAGGTGATCTACCTGCCTCGGCCTCACAAAGTGCTGGGATTACAGGCGTGAACCACCACACAGATATTTTTTTCTTCTAGAGTTAAGTTACTTTCACAAAGCTGAGAACATGTAACTATTTGACAAGACTTCTGAAAAATGCAGATATCACAGTATCAAATGACTGTTTGGGGTTACTCAGTTGTGTGTGATGCCCCTTCGTTATCCTCAGGCTAACTTAAATTTTCGTTGCATAAACAGACCAGCTTTTCTGGTATTATTTGCTAGACTTTCAGAATCTCTGACCCCGGACCTATGTTGGATCTGAGGCCTTTTTTCAAACACACATTCTTTTGTCAGCTTCCCAGTAGAAGGCTTTACATTAGGTGTTTCCTGTTATTTTTAACTTGATGAAGCCAATAGTGTTGCTTAAGCATACATTTTATTTTGTGTTAGCTTACATAGTTTGAGGTTAAAATTTATGAGACCTGGAAGAGCACAATGGCTCACACCTGTAATCCCAAGACTTTGGGAGGCCGAAGTGGGCAGATCACCTGAGGTCAGGAGTTTGAGACC